GTGAGAGAACCATCAATTATCCCTTTTGTCTGGATTGAATATTTTGAAGATATGACATGATGTGATTGAATTAACCATCGACCCCAACATGCATGTATGCATGCATGAGTTAATTATCATCAACTCCCATTGAATAAGTTTCAGCAATTGGACATGTATGGTGTTTAATTAAATTCCTTTATCTAAATTAATACAGTGTGTATAAATATACCTTGGTAAAATAAAGCTTTTACTTCTTAATCTACATCATGCTAATCACTAAAATTTGTTAAAAATTCAGTCACATAATTGATATAGAAGATAACCAATGATAATAGAAATTATTTTGTTATTTTCTTAACTTAAGTTCAAAATATAGAAACTGTTATGGATATAAACGTAACACATTGAAATTGTGTTAGACTCTTTGTTGTATATAAAACTTTATAATGATGATGATGTTTTTTTCTTTTTTAATTTTGTTTTTCTGTATTGTATTATTATTTTTAAGAATCCAACAAAGTTTAAGTTAGTTATATAGTTAATTATCTTTTTTAATTATAAAATATGGTTACACGAACTCGCATAATATAATTATATTTTATATTTATATAGTAATGTAAATTATATATAAATATATTCATAAAGATAATTTTTTACTTTAATATTAGTTTTGATTTAATAAAATCAAACAATAAGTAATATTGCTTAATTAACCATCACAAGAATGAAGTACGTGACCACAAAAGAAGTTCAATAAAGTGAAGAAAAGCTATAAATTTTGTGGTTATTTTACAATGAATACTTCATCACATCTTAATTTTTAGTCATATCCTACCTCGTGAATTCATGTTCTTTATATACAGGCTGTGATTTTGAGATTTGTCAATTATCTTAAAATTTTAAGCATATTTTTTTATTTAAATAAATCTTGAATTATAAATACGACTCTATAGAATTTCAAACGACTAGTTTCAATAGAGATTCAAAATTTAAGAAACATTAAAAAGCAAATAAACGAATTGAAATTGAAAATTAAAAATCAAGAATGGTGTTGTCAATTTTAAGAAAGAGCAAACTTATTTGACACAATTAGTGTTGCTTGACTAAAAAAAATTTATTCAAGAAATTTAGGCAGGATAGAAAAGTTTAAGGATAACTAAAAAAAAATTCCTCTTATTTTGTTTATAGTTTTGGCTTATTTTTGAAAAATATTCATTTTGGTAGAATTCAATATGTTCCTTTTTAAAATAAAGGCTTAAATGTTTATTTCGTCCCCCTCGAGGTAAATTTTTGTTTAGTACTCGATTTTAAAAATGAAGACATTGGGTTCCTATGTTATGAAAAATATATGAACAAGGTTCACAAAAAAAGAACAAGTTCAACAAATCATCAAAGAAAAAGTTAAACAAGAAATAAAAAAGCTGGACAGCAGAAGAGAGAAGAGAAAAAGTACGGCCACATCAGTATAATATCAAGCATTTAAGCCTAAAATAAATATCATGTTTAGTGTAAGATTTTTAACTATTTGTTTACCTATTCAAGATATGAAATTTGTGATATTAAATCAATTCGATATGAAATCTAATAAATGTGCAAAAAGAAAATACCATAAATGAAAATTTAAAATGATATATTTTTTAAGTTATTTGAGGGACACACCCATTTGAATTTTTATCATAAATGACCATTTTTTATTTTAACATTTGTTGGATTTTATAGTTTTCATGTAGGCAACTTTACATTATTAGATTTCTTTTTATATTTTATAATTTTTCTATAAAATTTCACAAAAAAATAAGGTTTTGCATGTTTATTAAAATTTCAAAATAAAAAATGACTAGAAAGGAAAAAAAAACAGAAAAAACTAATCCAATTTTATAGATATTGTTAATATACTTTTAATAAGAATTGGAATTTCATTTTGATAATTCACTAAATAAAAGTCTGTATTATTAAAATAAAATACTCATATTAATAAAAAAAACACACACATATATTATTGTTTTAGTAATATTTAATTAATAATTAAAATATAAATATATTTTCAATACCTAAATTTGAATACGAAATTATAATTTATTCGTCTCAAACTTTAATATTATTAGGTTCCAATCCCTTAAAAGGGATACAAATGTTTAATCTTTTTGTGTTAAAATGTTCTTCCCACGTCATCTTCAATATTAAAAGATGGTTAATCTTCAAATAAAAAATTATTTTATATCCATTTTCCTTCTTATTCTACTATGATAAAATACATAAGTAGTATAAATGAGAATAAATATTTTTAAATTGAAAACTATATGAAAATATTGCTTCTGATATTTCGACCCACTGTCATACATTAATATTGATATGAAATAAAATAGTTGGTAGATATTTAACAGTGGACTTGTAATTTAAAAAGAAAACCTAAAAGATGAAAATTATAGTTAAAATTTTATAGAAATTAAAATTAAATATTCACAAAACTACGGAATTAAAAGTGAATTTAAACCAAAATAAAATTAAAAGAATTTTTTCTAAGTGGGGGTTTAGATTAGGATGAAATAAAATACATTTTTTGTTGTGTGATGTCTTTTTATGAAGTAGACATTTCTAAAGTGAAAAGAACTTTATTTTTCTTTTCTTATTTCTTCAATTACTTTATTTCTTTTTTTCAAAATGAAGTGCGTGAAAGGCAAATATGGGAAGATCAAAATGGCAATTCAAAAGATAACTTTCTCTAACACTTCACACATCTCGTGATATCAAAACCTCTAAAATCAAATAAATCCAAACACAATATTTCACGTTATTAATTAATTCACAATTTAAAGTTAACAAATTTAGAAGTACGTAAAGTTTCATAGTTGGTTATTAGTTTATTCATTTTGGACAAACCACTCACATAAATTCTCATAAATAGTATCTAATCAACTAAGTTAAAGGGATAGGAAATAGTTCATTTTAAAATATAAACAATTGAGAGGTAAAAGGAAAGAATAAATTTTGCTATATATATTTTTAATGTAAGTAATTTAATATTTGATTTAAGTAGTTTCTCATAAATTTCGAAATCCCGTTTTTTTTCTTAATTCAAGCAAATTAAGCCGATAGTAAAAGGCTTTCCAAGTTTGAAGAACCATAAATTGTTTCACTTTTCTATTTAACGTATCAATGCTTCCAATAGACATATATCATATGTTATAGATGTGATCAATGTAATAAAATAACAATCGTGTCAATGAATATGTTACTATTTATCATACTTTACGTATTTTTTTTACAAGAAAGAATTTTGCTAAATGAGTTTATATTTAATTGATCAGTCTTATAAAATTAATTGGAAAAAAACGAGATTTACTTTATTTATATACTATAATTAATCTTACTTTTATTTAATATGAGATTTTTTTTACTACACTTACTAAAAAAACATTTTGGGTTCATGTTAAAAACATTAAACTAAAAATTGAGGAAACTATAATCAGTTTTTGTTTTGAAGAATGATAATGGAAAAGAATTAATATCAATTAATTTTATTAAGAAGTGAACTTCAAGTCTAACTTAATTCAACAAAACTGGCTTGTAAGGCGAGATTTACATTCACTTATATATTATAAATTGGTCTTATCTCTATTCGATGTGAAACTTCCAACATCCCCTCATATTGAGATCTCTAACCGATATAGGACTTCCAATAAACACCTTCACACTGATATATATACATTTCAAGCATGAGACTAGACATTAATGGGTAGTCCGATAACGGGTGGAACAATATGTTTACACAAATCTCGTTAAGATAGACTTTAACCTGATTATGATATCATGTTAAGAAGTGAACTTTAAGCTCAACATACAAAACAAACTTATAAGGTGAGGTTTGCACTCACTTATATATTTTAAATTGGTCTTATCTTTAATTTATATGGAACTTCTAACAAATTTAACTCACATATAAGAAATTGATACTACTTTCAGTAAAAAAAAAATTAAGATAATGAATTTATGAGTTCATGTAACTATAAACTTTCACGTTGTTTGGCATACTCTAATAACATCTTATGTTAGCTGATTCTCTGAGTTTTCGGAATCCAAACAGCTTATAGCTGTCTTGTGATGGTGATGCATGCTCTCAAATTGCTATGCTTAGGTGGCATTATGATAGATGAGGCACGAAGGCTTGAAAAATTGGAAATTGGAAGCACCATGCTTTTGAATTTTGATTTGGTTATTTAGTGTAAGTTGAGTTGGTTGAGTGGAGTGTTCCCATATGGCAAACTAATTTTGTAATCCAATTATGGGCTTCACCTACCATCATCGCTCAAAATAGCGCCATTTTCGCAAAAAGCTATTATTCATGTACTTCCAAAACACGAAAGTTCCACTTTAGGGGTGAGACAAGGATGGGAATGAGTAATGTGCAGGTCACCCATAGCTTCTGACCTAATTCTTCAATAATTTTCATTCAAAATCTTTATTTACCAATCTCTCTTTTCAACCACTTTTTCACCCACTTTATTACTTTATAACATTGCTTCATGTTATTATTTAAGTCTCACATTAATGTTCAATTCATTCTACTACATCCATAATCATGAAATTTTATGTACTACAATAAATATGTGTCCCAATAACATTCAATATTGGTATAAAATGTTTTAAGAGTTTATTTGCAATAACTACAGCCAACAATTTTAGAAAGTTAAAACAGAATAAATTCGTACTCATGAGAATTAAGAAACATAATTTATCCATCTGTATACGTTTAGATAATTTCATATAAATGAATTAATCTTAACAGCTTTTTTTAATCAAACAAGCCAATTCAACCTCCATATTTCCATGTCAGTGCTTGGTTTTGATACTTCTAAATCAAACCACTCCAGTCTTCATACTGTTTCTCAACCTAGAAATAAATTTTCACTAGATATCCAAACCCTTCCGAAGGGATGGATGGTACTGCTTAAAATGTTGAAGCTGGAGAATCGGCTAAAACAAGGGATAACATGTTGAGGTTTTGCATTCAAGACATGTACAGAATAATAGCAGCATTAAGAACTAAGAAGTGATGCCTTTCCATCAATTCAGATAAACAAGTAATCATAATCTAATGGTATCAACCGAATCTTAACCATCTGTAAAGAATGTACAAGGCATCATCAACAGGATTTTTCGCCCGCTAATTCTGAAAAATCTAAGCAACGCTTGATCATGAACGACTCCTAATGTTTTATATGGTTTCAACTCCTGGATAGAACATAGATAAGCTACATTCACTAGGTAATCCTCATCTGGAAAAGATGAAAAGTCGTGAATTTGTCTTCTGGCAAATCCACTCAAATTTCTGAAACTAGCAAACTCATTGGATTTACCTAGTGCCAAATCCTTTTCAATAAAACCATAAGATCCCCAACATAAGCATCCAAGGGAAAACAATCTTCCCAATTGGTTTCATCTCTTCCTAAAGTAGTAAAATGGTAGCCTTTTCCTCATTCAACAAGGCCTTTGGGATCAAAATTGACGTCTAACGACAGGAGCCGAAATTCCACAATCAGTCAATCTTGTGGATACATCCACAACAGAAATACAATAACATGTCACAGTTGCAAAGCAAGGTCTGGTTGCTGAGAGTCAACCAGCACACCAGATGATTGTTTTGCAGGTGAACCAGGAGGTTGGAAACCAATGTTCAGGTCAGGAGGAAGTGTTTCCTGTTTCTGTCTTGGTTGACTGTGAGGTCGGATACCCCGCCAAGGTGGTATCTGAAATCTTGACAAGTCAGAAGCTGCTACTTGAGGGAAGACCATAGGTCTGTTTGGAAACTGTGAAGCACCAACTGGTTGAAGAGCTTGAGATTGGGGTACAAGTGCCTGAAATGGAAAATTGTTCTTCTCAGACTGGAAAGGCGTTCCACCAGAAGAAAACTCTCCCCTAATTCGTGAAAAGGGCTGATGGAACTCTCTCGCTGGGTTGTACAATGATTCTGCGGAAATCTGACTTTTGGGTGAACTAGAAATTTCAGGTCCTTGTTTAAAACCTGCTGCACCAACAGACATCCATGCACGGGCAGCTGCTGCTGAAGCATTGCTCAAATCCTCTCTCCGTCCCGATGGAACTGATGGGGTCACTGGTGGGGTGTCAGCAGGGGAATGATTGGAAGAACTAGAAGTCTGTTGTTTTTGTGTCTTTTCAGCTAACATCCTCATCAACTGAACTGGGTCACTAAGAGTCTGCTCCTGTCCATGGGTAACAAAGGGAGCTGATCTACCTGTTTGATTTGACGTACTTTCAGATGATGCACCAGGTATCCGTCTGTTTAAACTAGTATTCCTTACTTTTCCATTGGGCAACTCTCCACCAACAACTCCGTTGGTATCTGGCTGCTTGAAAGGCATAGACGGTAAAATAGTCAAGTTACTAGGTATCATTTCTCTGGGCTTAGACACTGCTGCAGGAGTATTACTTGTAAGCTTTGCAACTAGACTGCCATTATTCTGATCACTGGAGGGTAAAGAGTTCAATTCCACTTGTTTCAAACCCTTGTTCTCAGACTTGTTGAGGTTCCTAGTTTGGACATTGGGCTGTGGATAAAAGAGATTGTCATGAGAATTGGGTCTTGATCCAGCAGAACCAAACAAAGATGATTTGCCATCCGATGTAAGCCCACTACTAGAACACACAGAAGGCTGTTTTCCCTCATGGATTGGTCCATTAACAGGATGTTCCGAGGTGGATTCCACATTCTTAATATTTTTGTCAGCCTTTATTAACTCAGCAGTAGACTGCATCTTAGTCCCCAAAATAGGTTGCTGCTGGGCAAGATTATCAAGCTTTAATACTGGTGTGGGAAGTGGTTCATACTCTCCAACCCAACCACGACCAAATTTACAGCCAGGTGGTAGTGCCTGCTGAATCCTCTGGGAAGCGATTCTCCAAGCTGTAGGTCCTAGAGTTGCAGCAAAACGAGCCAAACTCCTGGCATAGGAGTGCTCAGCTTGAAGTCCAACCTGGTGCCAAAAATATACAACATTGATGCTGTAAACAAAATAAGAAAGTTTTATTCAAGGATTAGAATCACTTATTTAGATACATACAGTAACCAGCTGCTTCACTTCACCCTCAAATGTTGTAAATACAGAATCCGATCTAATAGCTGGTGGATTAGGCATATTATAAGTTGCACGACGTTCCATATCTTGCGTAGATGGTTTCCTTCCCAACTTGGAAAGCAGACCCCTCCCTGAAACAATAAAGCAACAGTCTCAGAAGAGAATAGCTATATGATGACAGTAATATCCAACTGAAATTAAGAAAAATTAAACAATGAAGGCACGAAAGGGCTTAATCTTTTCTGTGATACCTGATATGTAGTCTTCTGCTTTCTCTTGATTTGCATCAATAATGAAAGCATTCCCCTCCACAAGACCATCAATATTTCCAGGCCTTTCACAAACGACACCTTGCATTGGATGGGATGTTGGCAATACATCTCCTATAGTAGCAAGAGTTGCACCTGAGGAAAAATCAGAGCCAATTGGTTCCTGTGAAGTATGACCCAGTGGCTTCTTTGCTGACTTCTTAACCAGGGAATTAGATCTAGTTTTTTGTTCAGACTTCAGCTCACTCTGAGAGCGATCAAAGTCAAACCGTAACTTTTCAAACTTTTTCCTGGCCAGTTCTTGTATCGATCTTGCCTGAAACAAATATAGGGATCATACAGCATGCACAACAAAATAGCTACATGGAAACTTTTTTCAAGGGAGAACAGTAAATTCTATACCTGTTTGTGGTATATAGTCTCCGCTGCATTGTATTGCATTGCATTCGAGCAAATCAAAAATACATCACTCTGCATTCAACATGCATCAAAATTTAATGTAATACAGTAAAAGTTATTTACCTTTCAAAATATCACTCAACTGGGAAGACAACATACAACCTACAGTTTAAAAGTGGTTAAGATGATAATAAAGTGTTGTCTAGTGCACAAGGTGCGCCTAGCAGAATCTTCGGATGATTGATGCACACAACCTGACCCCACACAAACAGATTGTTTTCCAAAAATTTGAGCCTCTAGGTCAAAAGGCAACAATCCTAGTGTTGGTGTTATCCTCCTCAGTTCAGATGATGGATCAAACAAGTTCGTTTCTTGCATTTCTTAAACATCATTATGATAACAGGTTGTCTATAAAGAAAATCCACACTAATAAAAAAAGTCATTTTCTTCTCCCACACCTTTTTATAATCTAAAATAGGGTTGAACCAAGAGCCATAAACAAGAGACAAGCTAACCAGGATATATTACCCCCCACTGCCTATTAGCATCAGCATATATTTTAATCTCCCATAGCGACACTCATGTGTGACATTAGACATTTTTTGGGCTCTAGGCACTGAGGTGCTGAACTGCAAAATTTCCACTAAATTAAGAAACTATCATTTATTCATGCCAAAATAGACAAGCTACACTATGTCAATGCCTTACCATAACCCAATCTATCATTACATTGAAAATATACTCCTTTCCAGGAAATAAAAACTGTAGTAATAAATTGTGCTAAATTTCATACGATCCCATCATTAGTTTACTCCTGCAAAAGTTTCCCACTATCAATCACAAACACACAGATCGCTACTGACAAACATAAGTGAGAAAAATCCAGACAGACTCTATTATACTGACAAACAAGCCGCTTAAATGTTTCCCCTCACACCAATTACAAGCACCCTCGGGCTATCAACCCACTTATAATCAAATAGAAAAAACAATCATAATCTCAGAGAAGAAAAGAAACCTCTCCCAACTTTAACCATCATGAACAGTTGACATATGTACACACCTCAAATTGTTCCAAGGTAGGATAGGATCCATTTGCCAATTTCTTCCTCACTGTGGCAAAGTCCATTGGATTCTCAATCACATCATGATAATCAGGAAGCTGCATTGAAACATAATTTGAACTTTCAACTTAGATTGCCTTCCAAAAGCAAGATTAAAATTTCAAAGGAAGAAAAGCCCGCACACCTCTTCTGGATCAACTGGTTCAGCATACACACCATATGTGTCCTTCCTGACAATTCACCAGAAGACATCACATCAGCATGCATCAATATAAGTTGAAGATGCTAGAGTAATCATTCACCACAACCAAAAAGAGTGCAAGAGGAAAGAAAATGTTCATCGAAATCCCCTTACTTCTGAAGCTTGTCAAGGATCAACTCCAGGGTCCTCTTGTCAGGCAACGGAATCCCAGGTGGAAGCTTCGACGGAGTTCCTAACACTAGAAACAGAACAGAAAAACCAAACTTAGTTTAGAAACTCACAGTGGACGATAGGGTAACAAAAACATCGGCAAACCCGTTTCAGTATCGAACGTGGTACACAAGGAAAAAGCTGTGAAATATGAAATAAGAATTACATTACAACAGAAACCATAAATCGCTATACACACACACACACCTGAAACTGAGTGGAGCCCTTTAGAATCCACTTTTCTTCCCTTTGCCTGTCACAAGAAACCACACAATTAATAACGCAACCCAAAACCACAGAAAAGGCAAATACTGCGTTTATATAAGAAAATGATGCGATGGAGACAGAGACAGAGACAGACAACAATGCGTCCTAGGTTATCTTATCTCTAGTCATAGACAGGGAGAGAGAAAGAGCGTTAATAAAATGAAAGAAAACACAATCAGAGAGAGTCTGCATGTGTGTGATAGTTTTGACAGTTGACGCGTTAGTTATCTCCCCCAAAATCCCGACACAGAGAGAGAAAGAGAAAGCCCTAGAGAGAGAAACACAAAACCACAGAGAGAGAAATATAATTCAATTATGGACCAATTGGTATCAAAAAATTTCCGAGGTGGACACTGAACACACTCTTCTCCCTAATCACAAAATTTTCAGCACTTGTGTCTGTTACCTCACGCTCTTCTTCCAGCTCCTCCGCCTCCTCATTCCCTTCCTCCTCCTCTTCCTCTTCCTCCTCTCCCTCATCCTCCTCCTCCTCCCCCTTTTCCTCCTGCGCGTGCACTCCACGCGCCCCCACATGACTCGGCGCGTCCTCCTCCTCGTCATCGTCTTCCTCCTCGTTGTTGTTGAGCTTCACCACCAGCTTGAGCTTCTTCTTCTCGCGCCTCCTCTCGTCCTCCTCTTCGTCCTCGTCCTCCTCGTCAAGGTAGTCGTCGTAGTCGATGTTGTAGCGCACATTCCGGCGGCGGCGGCTCCGTCGTAGGTCTGGCTGGGAGGATGCCGGAGATTGACCGGAGCGGCGTGCTAGATCTGTCTTTGATGGACGTCCCTTCTTCTTCCTCCGCACGATCTGACCCATCATCTAATCTATGGCTGGTGTTGTTGGTGCTGCGTCTCTCTCTAAAACCCTGTTTCACTCTCTCTCTTCTCTTGCTTTGGAACACTCCATTATTTTCGAGGGTACCTCCCTTGGCTTTTTTCGAGAGGCTCAGTCAGGTCCGAGCCTGGCTGTCACCATCCGAACCTCAGCTTCGGTTCTTGGTGGGTGGGGTGCCTCCCTTTCACTACTCTCTATTTCTCACTTCTACTGCTTCTTTTTTTCTTTATCCTTTCTCATTTCATTGCTATGCTATATATAATATAAAACCATAATTAATTAATTAATTATTTAATTAATTTCTCCTCTTCTTAGTCAAATATCTCTATCTCAATAATACATTAAGTGCACATGTTTTCTAATATATTTTTATTATTTTAATATATTTTATTTTTAAAATTTTAAAATAACGTAATTGTCATTTTTATATCTTTAATTAAGAAAAATTATAAGGAAAACAAATATATAATAACATATAAGTATATATTAAAATATAGAAAACTGTAAAAAGATATAATATGTAACTGATTAGAATTATTTTTAAAAGTAAACATTAAATAATTTCTTTAATTCCAGTTAAAAGTTTTAGGCATTTACTATAAAAAAATATTAAATATTATTTTACTTAAAAGATGGTCAGGTCCACAACTTTACAAAAATTCATTTTTTTCCTAAACTATATTGAAGAGTGAGTTTTCTCAAAATTCGATGTCTCATATTAACAAATTTTCATAAAATTCCGCGTATAACAACTTTACAGTAAACAGTTTATTTTCTTAATTTTTTTAAACTTTTAGAATAACTTATTTTCATTATTTGATTTTAAAAATTATTATTTTCATTATTAATAAACAGATATATTTATAATATTTAGTATAAGCAAAGAAAAAAATTGAATGATTAACGAAAAATATAAAAATAATTTTTTTAAGCAATATTTATCAAGAGAGTAAAAACTATTTTTTATTTTTGAGAGTGATGCCTGTGAAACGCGTTTGAAGTGCTTTTCATCACTGTCCTTATTTTTTTCTTCACATTAGCTTAAATGTTACAACCCGAATTTAATGGATACGCGTAAATCCACCTCAGCTTTAACACTAAATGAATTAATATTTGTCTGGTTCAGTTAAATTTGAATGGGTCCAAATTAATTAATAAATTAATTAATATATATGATAAATAAAATTAATGAGTACTAATGAATTTCACTCAGTTAAAAAAACGTTACACATTGGAGTGAGTAATAATTAATATGACAAAGTGATTTAATGAGAACACCTTCCACCTCAGACTAAACGTTCATTTTGGTGTGTGATAAGTGTGATATCATATTAATTGTTAATTTAAAAAATTTATAGTTTAATTAGTAGTTTGGTATGTATAAATAATTCATTATTTTTTTAAAATTAAGTTTAATTTTTTTAAAAATGATGTAATTAGGTTATTTTTATTAATATTATATCTATTACGAAATGTCACGTATATTTTTTTTCGTTTTCTTTTCATTATTAATTAATTTTAATATTTTACTTCAATTTTTTGATGAAATATCATGTCACTTTACAATGGATGGGACATAGCAATAACAATGTTTTTTGTTGACTCATATTTATTTTCGTTTTATATTTATTTTATTAATTCAATTCAATTTTAATTTATTTTTTAATAATTTAAGATTGAATTGAATAAAAAGTATAAAAAATAAATTAAAAAAAATGATAATATAATATCATATATTCCAATACTAAACTGATATGTGGATAATTTATTTTTAGAAAAAACTGAAGTAAAAATTTAAAAATATTAAAAAATAACAAAACAGCTACAACACGACACACGACATATCTTTAGTATAATACTACTTATTTAATTACATAAATTTTTCAAAGTTTGAAACTAGAAAAAAAATAGAATATCTACTTGATTTATTTTTACATAAACTTGAGAGCAAGCACCTAATTAAACAAAAATTTAATCATAGTGTGTTACAGTTTGGATTAATCAAATCCACAACAAGTCATTAATTATTTTGATTAATGAGCATTATTTCAATTTAATGAACTTAAATGTGAATAAATGTAATTAATTTTATTTTATTTTATGATATTATAATGCAAATAACATTCGCTTAATAATAATTTTAATTTTAATTATTTTTTATTTAGGATATCAAACTTTGGCAATATATATATATATATATATATATATATTATTTTAATTTATTAGAACAGAATAGAGATTAAAGATTAAAAAAACATTACAAAAGTGATTTGTAGATAAGTTGATATTTATATAGAGTTAAAAAAATTACATAATATAAGTATATTAATTAGCATAATAAGTTATGTATTAATATATTTAACTAGTTTATAATTTAGTTTGATAATTATAAAAATGCTCGATAAGTTTTTTAATTTACTCATTTTTTAAAAACTTAACATGTAAATTATATATTATTTTAGTTCATTTGTAGTCTTGAATGTATTTAATTTTCTTTCTTATATTTTAGTCTTGGTATTCTTAATTATTTTTATTGTTATAAATTAATTTTAATTAAATATTAAATATTAAATTACTATTATCATTATTATTTTATGTTAGGTTTTATTATTATTTAGTTTTACTTATAACATTCCCGTTTAGTAAACTTTACTTACTAATTTAAAACATTACAAAATTTATAAAAAAATCATAACCTAACTTATTAATATGTAAACTTTATTTACAAATTTCGAGAAGAACTAAATCAAACTTTTTAAAGATGAATAATAGATAATCAACTAAATAATCTATACAGTATAAAAATTATATATTTATCTAACATTACTCTCTCTCTCTAAAAAAAGTCATTAATAGTTTTATTGTTTCATTATTTTCCTATTGTCATTAACTTTTTATCAAGTATAACATACTATAAATGGAAAAATAAAATGTAAATACAAAAACACATCTAAAGTAAAGTAGAATACAATAACAATTCATAAAATAAACACATGACTCCCATGGCATACTCATATGTCAATAATCACAAGCACAACTTTCGAAGGACTAATGTATTGACTAATGTATGGAGATCTTACACTTATCATTGCTTATTCAATTTTTCCTTTCAAGAACTATAATTATAACATGTTTGGGCCTTTTCTCAATCTATAGAGCATGAAACGGTAAATTATATATATCACGAGCTCGACTTTAGTTGACTCACTTTAAATATATGAATCTTCATTAACTCTCACAAAGTTGTTATTTTCATATATATAAATCCAATTACTAACACAATAAGAATGATCTCATTTCAGTCTCTATCGATAATACACCCCATACAAAACCAACTAATTGTAATATTCTCACCCTATGAATAGTTACCTCGTCATTCTTTTCATATTCATCTTAATTCAAATTAAACATTACCAAATTGGTAAACACAGTCACAAATAAATAGTCAAAGAACAAAATATCACAAATAGTTCATTCATCACATTCTCATATAATCTTAAATCATCAAACCATGTCACACCTATGTATTTTACCTCAATTCAAACTCATATCGTAGCATTAATCACCTATTATTTATTTATATTTACATGTTGAGAGTTTATCTATGATTTTTTTATTGTATTAGCATAATATTCAATTACAATATTTTTGTTACTAATATCAAAACAACAATTAATAATTTTCAACCCAAAGACCTCTAATCAAATATCCCAATGATCAAAGTGAATATTCATATGTATAGAACCAATTGTCAAAATTTTAGCTTGATCTAATGATTATTAAAGAGGAAATCTCAATTTTATCAAGATGTCTCGAAACAAAAAACATGTACTCACCCAGTGAGAAAATGGCTCACCTAGCTAGAGAAGTCACCCTACTTCTCTTTCAAACTTGAAATTTGACAATTGCTCAGTAAGATATTGGCTCACCTAGTGAGAAAGCCTCCTCGCCTCTCTATCATATTCAATTTTGGCACTCATTTAGTGAGCGGTTAGCTTGTCAAGTAGATCTGCATAAACCATACACAAAATTTTGTAGAACGGACCATACCTCCATTCCCAATATAGTGTTTTTCTCTTCCATACGAGTCAAAATATATAGGACTAATTTGCTTAAAATGACTCATTGAAACTAAGAGTATCACTTCACTATGTCAATCTAAAAACAACACAAGTAAGAGACCAGATTTAAAGTTTTAAACCCTAATTTAACCTTTTCACATAGTTTTCCCCAATTCAACCAAATCAATAGATGAAATTACACGAATTCAACAATCAATCCACAAAGTACCAACTATCAATCAAGACAGTAGAAATCAACATGCAAAAGTTATGAGTTAGCTCCTTCTTTTCTTAATTAAACTTCCTTTTTATTCGGTTGCTCCTTAGAGTTTTATTTCTTATATATCACTTAACTAGACAAAAAAGAACTCTAATTAGAAATTTAAACATATCACCATGATCACGAAACAACAAAAATTCATTTTGAACACATTTGAGCCACTGTGTGTAGAGCACACATACAAATTCAAAGAACAAAATTATCTCAAAAAGAGAAAAAAGGGATATTACTTTCTTGAATCTGATCAAATAGATATGTAAAGATCTTCACTAGAAATATGGTTTTGATTTTCAAAAAGATAAAGATTGAGATAAGAAACTGTAGAGAGGGTGGAAAGAAATTTAGAAAAAAAGCGTGATTTTAATAAAATAATCTTCAATTAATAAATTCTATTTATATTTTAAACATTTTATTATTATAATATCACAGTGTTCTCTTTTAAAATCATCGTTACTCTTATACTATATTTTAGGTTTTCACATTACTTTTTAGTGTTGTTATTACCATTACTATTTTTATGGTAATTATATTATAATTGTTTATTTTTTTATTGTATAATATAATATAATTAATTACACATTATTATAATTCATGGTGATACATATGGTAACATAATAATGGTAACTAGTATTTTGTGACATTATTTTCAAGACAACTCAATCGTGTTTTTTATAACAATTACAAGTAATGAAATAAGTTCAAAATAGATATTGTACTTTAAATAATGATGATAAATATGATTCAAAATAAGACACATTAACTTCACAATGTTCACCTTCAATGCATCAGTACATTCACAATACCTGACAACACTAATGATATTAATCATTATTTGTCCAATGTACAGATTCAATATTTTTAACATCCAAACATATATCTTTAAC